ATATGTCATTGCATCTTTGACAGACAATCTCTGTTCATCCTGTTACAGTGTAAATACATAACAGCTGGCTTTTCTTTAATAGAACATTTTTACAGTGAAGAAATGCCTCAACCTCACTATGATTTACTTTAAATAAGTCATCAAACTACACGACACTTAAAGCACTTTGTGGCTGAATGTTGGAAACAGACAACGTGATCTGCTTCTTCACCAACCTTCTATTTTATAAATGTACAAATGTTCAGAAAAAAAAATATTATTGCAAATGGTGAAAGAACATTAATTTAATAAAAATCAAGGGTCAATCATTTCAAATGAAACATTCTCAACAAAACATCAACATTGATCATTACTTATAATTCAGTGTTCAGTGTTACTTTTAACACTCTGCTGGTGGCTCCATTATAAATACAGAGCAGTGTTAATTTTACAATGGGGATTTTTCATGTTTAGACTCCACCTAATGTGCTTATGTTCGTATTTACAGATAGCCACTGCAATCATCATGACTTGTGTTCAGAGACCTTTATGTCACATTGGATATTAGATATGTGATCAATAAAATACATTTTATTGCCAGGCACAGAATACAGAAAACATGACTTTAACCATCCATCTCCTCCTCACTGCACTATGTCATGCTCTGTTAAAGACTTGCTGGATGTTGCCCTTTTGATCAGCACTGTGAAACTGTGTGTTCAGCTCTCCAATCACCAAACTCTCATCTGAATGAGCTGGACCTGTGTATAAATGACCTGAAGGATTCAGGAGTGAAGCTGCTTTGTTATGGACTGAAGAGTCTAAACGGTCAGCTGGAGATACTAAGGTTTGACGTTCATGTTCATTCATTTATTTTTGTTATGTTCAAATATGTGTATGAATAGCTGTTTCATTAATATGACTAGCAGATACACTTTATATTGTAGTATGAATCTATCAGTGGCATTTTCTTGGAGGACACAAGCAGTGTCTCTTCAATAACGCCTGATGAGAAAGTAATCATCTGTACTAAAATCAGGGTCCCCAGGTGTCCTGTAAACCTGACATTTTCATGCTGCTAAGAAGACAAGCGGCCACATGCTGGAAGGTTTTGGGAGTGACATCTGCAAAAATGGGATTCACTCTCATAATCGCAATGATTGACAGATTGATAATCATAACAATAGATGGGACAATAATATAATATGTCAAAATAAATGAGCATGAAGGCTAAAGAACCTTCACTAATTTCAGAAGCATCCTCAGTGATTTGATTTTGGAACCAGGCCAGATATGTGAGACTCAAGAGACTGGTGTGTGGTATGTATGTCACTCATTATCACTGATCCCACCAGCCCACACTGCTTCACACCACTATAGTGCATGTGCAGACTGGGAAGTGATATTTGTATATATTGTATAATTTATCCAAAGATTAAATCGTTATTGTAACAGATGTAATCAAAAGAGAGAGGGAGATGGACTTAAATGCAGGAGTCTTATTCAACACAAACTGATACAGTCAAGTATTCAGGTGAATAACTTCAAGTGTATCAACATCTCACAAACGTGATCAAAATATAGAGAAAAGCTCGCATAGAGCGCAAAAACCCAGAGATAAAGAATAGAGCAGAGGGGAGCTTAGGTAACGGTATGAGTCTGCAAGCCTTGATAAATTTGTCTACCACAGTGAGGATAGTCATATGACCCTGGGACACCGGGAGATCGATAACAAAATCTATGGCGATGTGGGACCAAGGTCTTCAAGGAATGGTTAAAGGTTGGAGCAACCCAGCAGGCAGTTGTTTGAATGGTTTATTGATGTTGCAATTTGAGCAGTTCTTGACATACATGGTGATCTCATTCTGCATACCAGGCCACCAAAACTTGTTACTGATTATCTGAAGGGTTGCTGTGATGCCAGGATGCATGCATGGGACATTAGCATGACTCGTTAACAGAACTCAGGGGGCATGAAGGTCTTATCATTGGGACAGTCAGGTGGCGTATGATGTTTAGCCCCCTCCAGCCAATGCCTCCACTCCTCGAATGCAGCCTTCATGGCTAAGAGCTCTCGATTGCCAACATCGTAGGTCTGCTCAGTGGGGTTGAGTTTCCAAGAATAGAATGCACAAGGGAACACCTCAGGAGGAGTTCTATGTCGTTGGGATGGAATAGCCCCAATGCCTGTAATGGAAGCACCAATTTCAACAATGAACTCTAGACTTGGATCAGGGTGATGCGGAATTGAAGCTGAGGTAAATCTGGATTTTAATTCTTGAAATGCCTGCTGAGCTTCTGAAGACCAAGAGAGATTGTGAGAGTTCCTTTTGAGCATGGAGGTTAAGGGTGTTGTGATACTGTAGAAACCACTAAATAACTTTCGGTAGAAGTCTACAAAGCCTGGAAAACGTTGTGGCAGGGTCATGGCCAGGTGACAATGGCACTCACTTTGGTCTCATCCATGGCAACTCTTTTGGGACTAATTACATATCAGAGGAACACCATAGATGGTAAGTGAAACTCACATTTCTCTGCTTTGGCAGAGTTTGTTGTCGATCAGGCGTTGGAGACCAGACCTTACATGTTTGACATGGTGTTCATAGGTACTTGAATAAACAAAAATGTCATCAATATAAACTATTGCCCACTTGTTAAGCATGTCTCTGAAGATGTCATTTATAACGGCCTGTAACACAGAAGGATTGTTTACCAGCCCCGAATGGCATGACCAAGTACTTGTAATGTCCAGTGCTAGTAGAGAAAGCGGTCTTCAGTTCATCTCCTTCTCATATACAGATGAGATTGTAGGCACTACGGAGGTCTAGCTTAGTGAAGAATTTGGCTGTTCTGAGCTGTTCTAGGGCTTCAGGTACCAGAGGTAAGGGATAGCAAAACTTTAATGTGATTTCATTCAGTCAATGATAATCGATGCATGGTCAAAGGTCGCCATCCTTCTTTCCCACGAAAAAGAAACCGACTGATGCTGGAGAGGTGGAGGGCCGGATGAAGTCCTTGGCCAGTTCTTCCTTGATGTAATTCTGCATGGCTTCAAATTCTGGTATTGACAGTGAGAAGCAGTAATTAACCCTCTGGGGTCTGAGGGTGTTTTGGGGCCCTCGAGAAGTTTTGACATACTGACATTTGTGTTTTTTTTCAGTATCTTAAAAACATATTAATGGCTAAAGTCTGATAACACTGTATTCAGCACAAACTGGGCTACAATAATATGTGAGCAGCATGAAAGTACATGTTTGTGTTTTTGAGAAAACAATGTTTATGCGTGGTTTGTGAAAAACTAAATTTTTTAAGTCACTGAAATAAGGCCATAAAACACATACAGAATATTTGTTCACAAGACTTTTGAGAACTGGACGTGGTAGACTAGAGTTTTTGCTACAAAATGAAGTGAAAATGATCCTGTTCACTCCTTCACAGAAAACAATATATTGATTTAAATTTTCTAAGACACTTTTTGTGTAGAAAAAGTATATGCGAGGAGGCGTGAATGATCATGCATAATGCTGTGATTCACACCTGAGAAGACAAAGGCCTGCATAATAAGCTGCATAATGAACCTTTCAGTCAGGTGTGTGACTGAGAGGGAAGAGTTACCAGAAAGAATGTGAGGACAAAATAAGTTTATATATTGTCTGTTTGTAGTTTATTTAGAATATATTTAATACTTGAAGCCCCACCTGGTTGGCTTGGCTTTCATGTACTGAGTCATTCCTGTGTGTGCTTTGCATGCCACCGTTTTTTCATCCACTGCCAAATTTTTTCTTGGATGATAGATGGCCTTACATGCATGCCGGATAGTGTCCATGAGGGGTCTGACCCTGAAAAGACGGTCGTGTTCAGCTGTGCCCCTCTTTCTGTCATTGTCCTGGTCTGCATCTGGGTGACTCATGTGCAGATTCCATGAAATGGTGCGGTATCTGTCCCTTGACATGATTGTGGCAGGAAAAGAAACAGAGAAAAGATTGTCCTGCCGCCAGTAGTCTCTGATGGACCTCAACTTCAGCATGGCCATGTAGAAGAGTAGCCCAAAGTAGCAGTACAGCTCACTGATGCTGACGTCTGTCCATTTATATTTATGGCCCTTTGCACGTGCCCTGGCAGCCTGAGCATTGGTGTTTCGACACAGAGTTGACACAGCAGTTTCAGAAAAAAACCTTTTGAATAGACTCATGGGAGTGTGTGCATCACACACGTTCCTGTGCGGGCAGGAATCTCAGAGCCTGTGGAGGCATGTCAACATCAGCCTCTGTTTTCCATGACCAAGTGGGCTGCTTATTTGCTTTTCAAGTCAAGTCAAGTCAATTCTTCCACATGTACAGCAAATACACACAGAGAATTGAAATTGCGTTACTCTCAGACCCTTGGTGCATACAGATAACACTAACAGTAGAACATAAATACAGATAGATACAGATTAAATATAAAATACAATTATATATAAATACAGATAGATACAGATTAAATATAAAATACAATTATACAAATATACAAATAAGGTAAAATGTAAAAAAATATATAAAGCAGCACAAGGCACATGGCAGATAGAGTGCAAACCAGTGAAGTAAAACAACAGTGCAGATATAATGATTTGCCCTCGTTAGCTTCCTAGCCTAGCCTAGTCTTGCCTTGTCTGTTTTCTCGGTTTTTGATCTGTGCCTGTTTTCCTGGATTTATCGCTTTAGTCTCGCTCTTGTGATCCTGTTTGCCAATCGTTGACCTATGCTAGCCCTAGGACTATTCTTGTGTCTTGCCCGCCATATACCTGTTTGCCACCGTTCGACCCTGCCTGTGTTTCTGACCTCCTCTCATGTTAATAAAGCTTGCATATGGATCCGCACGTCTCACGTCTTGTCAGCCCCGTTACAGCTAACGCCAATGGCCGGGTATAACGCATTCAAAACATTTACCACATCAGATATTTGCGAACAAAAGCTAGTTTCAAAACTATAAGTGGCCTGTAAGGAGATATTTCATATTTCAACCAGTTTTACTCTGAAAAGCTGGTTTTACTCTGAGAATAGCCTGTTTGGAAATGTCCAAATTTAGATATAAAATAGGCTATAGCTGAGCAACATTTTAAATCATGAAGGTAATAATAAAAGGCTTACTCGTCAGCAATTATATCTTCCGCTGTGTCCAAACGTTCTTCAAAATGCAAATGTTCGTCATCTGAGTCACGTTCTTCCTCTGAGGAGAAAGTAAACTCTTCGTCGCTGTCCCATTGCTCTTATCTGTACGATCAAAACTGAAAGTGTTATTTAAGTTATTTTCGGCGTTATCAGGAGAAAATGCCACAAAATGCATTGCTCTTATCTGTACGATCAAAACTGAAAGTGTTATTTAAGTTATTTTCTGCGTTATCAGGAGAAAATGCCACAAAACGCGTATCCGCGTTTGTCGACCCCAAAGGGTTAACTGTCAGTAATTCAATGGCATGGTCACTTAGTCGATGGAGAGGAAGTTGTGTTGTCTTGACTTTACTGAAAGCTTAGATTAGGTCAGCATACTCAGTGGGAAGATTAAAAACTTGTAAATCCTTGGGTTTAACCTCAGTGGTGCTAACGTGCAGAGCGGTGACAGGTTGAAGACATTTAGATTGGCAGCTTTGACTCCAATGTGTTATTTCCCCGCCAGCCCATGAGATCTGGGGATTATGCTGCTGGAGCCAGGGTAGACCGAGAATGATGGCATAATTGGGCAAGGGAATTAGGTAGAGGCAAATGATCTCTGTGTGTAGGACTCCAACCTGAAGCGTGAAATCCTGAGTGACATGATGAACATAGCACGAACCCAGTGGTGCTCCATCTAATGCAACAACTGACAAAGGAGATACACAAGAAGTCACTAGTATATCATTCTGCTCAGCAAAGTCAATATCAATGAGATTGCCCGCAGCTCCGGAGTCAAGCATAGCAGTAGTACAAATGGTTTTCTCAGACACAGTCAACTGAACAGGTATTTCCATACAAGAAGATGAGTAAGGCATTAATTAGCATGCACTTACCTAAAATGGATAATGTTGGTCGGGGCGAACTTGGCAAGTGACCTTCACATGACCGGGTTGGCCACAGTATAAGCACAGATGCTGTTTGATTTGATGCTCTCTCTCCTCAGGTGTGAGAGGTGCACGACCAAGCTGCATCAAATTGATTCAAATCCTTTCCTTCAACACGACAAGCCAATTCTGACAGAAGTTCCAAATTTATCCCCTTGTGAAAGAACAGTTACAAGGTAGCCACTAACGTGTGAAAATTAAGAGCACATGCCACAGCAGTGCTCTCACCCTGTCGAAGGGACACCAGCATCTCGACCATTCCCCCGATGCTTATACACCTCTCTGAAATGTTGAAGAAATATTTCAAACGAGGGAAAAGTGGATCCTTGGGTTTCCCAGATGGCATTGGCCCAGTCTAAAGCCTTCCCTGTTAGAAACGAGCAGACAAATGAAATCCTTCTTTTGTACATGGAATATAATGTGAGCTGCTGGTTAACACAAAGAGCACTGTAGTAGGAAACCTTTACACTCACCTGGGGACCCATCAAACTTTTCGGGAAAGGTGAGGCATGGATTAACAGATACCGTGCTCATGGTAGACGAGCTTGTGGTGTGAGTTGATGCTTTGCTTGGTGGAGTGGTGGTGGATAAGCGGAGAGATTGCAGCATCTTAACTAACTCCTTGGTTAGCATCATCACCCAGTTGAGCTGTTGCTGATGCATGGCTTGAGCAGAGACCTCAGACGTGATATGACTGATAATAATGTCTTTATACTAGAGTTGTGTATATCTTCCAACCCCCTCACAAAAGTGTTTATCAACACTGGCATCTGTTGTTGCTATGGTCTGTGGTTGTTTGTTTTTGTCAATTTTCCCTTCTCTTCCTTTTCTATTTCAGCTGTGAAACAATGGCCTGGGCCAGTGTGGCCACCTTGTGCCAACTTTGCCCATGGGTGGCCAGTTGAATAGCTCTGTTATAAACCCTACCTGATTAACACATTTATATCACTGTTTATTTGTTTTTGATTTCTCTCTCTCTGCACAGGCTATGTGGGTGTAATCTCACTGCTCAGTCTTGTGAGAGCTTGTCGTCAGTTTTACAATCCTCAACCTCCTGTCTGAGAGAGCTGGACCTGAGTAACAATGACCTGCGGGATTCAGGAGTGAAGCTTCTTTCTGATGGACTGAAGAGTCCAAACTGTCAGCTGAAGATACTAAGGTCTGAATTCAAACACTTTAGCTGATTTATTTATTTATGCATTAACTTAAAATTGCATTGCTAAGATTTATTCTGTATGCAATGACTTTGGGGTTTTCTTGTTCAGATGTTCCATATGTAATCTCACTGCTCAGTCCTGTGAGAGTTTGTCATCAGTTTTACCAACCTCAACATCCTTTCTGAGAGAGCTGGACCTGACTAGCAATGACCTGTCGGGATTCAGGAGTGAAGCTTCTTTCTGATGGACTGAAGAGTCCAAACTGTCAGCTGGAGATACTGAGGTAAAAGTTTTTTCCATAAATTAAGTAACAAAATGATGTCACAATAAATGAACTTTAAATATATTTTACAATAAATGACCTTTTTGTCACCAAATGTTGCATCTGCTTTCAATGGCAAGAACAAAAACAAAAACAATATTTGCAGGCTTGTTTCATTTTTCACATTTATACAAATGTCTATATTTTCCACCCTGAGAAGTATGACCCATGTAGACTACATAAATTTGAGAAAAAACAAACAAACAAACAAACATTTGTTTGAGGTGGAGGCTGAGTGGAAGAGCATTAAGATAATTTAGTGGCTGTTCTGTAGTGCATGAATCTTTGTTTCCACTCTCGGCCTTTCAAATGTGAAACTTTCTGGTGGCGAACATTTTAGCATGTCCTTGACTGTATAGCTCTTCACTTAACTGGGCAATATGCCATATTAATGCAGTTAATATCCCGCTTCTGACACAATGCCATAAACTGTGCTAGACTTGCATGGTTTTCCAGACTTGTTTACTGAACCCTTCCATATACGTACATACACATACATAATTCACATACACATACACATTACATAATTCACACATGCAACTTTCATCCCTCTCTCTCTCTCGTTTCTAAAAATTCCCTGTATCTTGCTCTCTCATTGGCTGTAGGTCATCGCCGATGTATTTTTCAGTCAGAACTCATTTCACACAGCAGGATTTTGAATCGCCGACTGGTCCAGATAATTAGTATGCCAAATATTTCACGGGCTATATTCTCTCAGATCGCGTCTTTAATAATTCACACTGCGTGATTGTCATTGCGTGAACAAGCACCGATTTGTTGGCGAGTGAAAATCAGGGAAAAAATCGTGCAGTGTGAACTTGGCATTACATGACTGTTGTACAACAATAATCTGAGGCTGCCGGCAATCTTTGCATCTAAAGGGGTTAAACAATGAGTGGGTACTGCGATGTTTTGCTGGACCACAAAAGAGTTTAAGTCTGTAAATGCAAGCCCTAATGCATCATTTGTATTATTAGTGTGAATGTTAAAGTCTCTGACTATTAGCGCTTTATCATCATTATCCAATAGGTCTGAGAGGAAATGTGCAAAATCTTTTAGAATATCAACAAACTGTCCTGGTGGTCTACACAGTAGCCAGAGCAAGAGATAGGAAAGATTTTTTCTGTATAACAGTGTAACATTAAGCAGGAGTACTTCAAATGAGTTAGACCTGTGTGCTGTTTTCTGAGTAACATTGACAATATCTCTGTATATTGTTGCAACACTGACGCCATGAACAATCGGATGGGGCTCATGCTTATAACAGTAGCTTGGTGTAAATCCCTGCATTTCAGCCCGAGCCCGACGGGGCTCAACTTATTTAAGCCTCTAGGGCTGGGCTTTGGGCAAATTTTCACATCATAGCTCACACGTGGGCCAGGCATCCGGCCTGTTTTAGGCTTTTCCTTCTTTTTTTATTTTAGACATCCATCAATTAAGGCAGGGGTGTCCAGACTCGGTCCAGGAGGGCCACTGTCCTGCAGAGTTTAGCTCGAACCCTAACTAAACACCTGAACAAACTAATTAAAGTCTTACTAGGCATACTAGAAACTTCCAGGCAGGTGTGTTCAGGCAAGTTGGAGCTAAACTCTGCAGGACACCGGCCCTCCAAGAGCGAGTTTGGAGACTCCTGAATTAAGGTGATGGAAAAGATGTGCTGCACTGATGGAAACAACATGAGACCATGCTACCGAAACTGTCAAGACGGGCTCGCAAGGTGTAGCACACCTGGAAGAGTTATAGAAAAAAGGAGGACTAGATTAAAACTAGGGCTTCCCTGAGTTATGATTTTTCTAGCCAACTATTAGTAGTAATTACTTAAAAACTAAATCACAATGAGCCTTTAATGTGTAGGCTAGCTAGCCTATTTCGTGTTCAACTTCACACATATAGCTTGTGGCAAAGCACCGGCAAAAGTAATGACTATGAATGTGTCTGGAAAAATAGTAAGAATGAATGTTATAATTATTAATAATATTATAATTAATGTTATAATTATTCATTAATAAACACGTTTTTTTTTTCTGAGTCGGTGTGGCTGCAAAGATGAAGTTAATGATGTTGACTCGCATCTGTAATACAGATTATAAAATCAGAGAGTTTTTGTTTTCGATTTGAATTGTTTAGTTTTAAAGTATGCATTTCAAGCTTTCTATAGATATATTTCTCATGTCTGTGAGGCAAGTAGCCTGCACCATTCACTGGTCTCGAGTCCCACGGAGGAGCTCCGGAAGGGTATAAAAGGAGGAGCTACGACAGTGAAAGATGAGAGAGGACCAGGCCTGGATTTTATTTTGTGTTTTGGTTCTGTTTGTGCGCGACAGTCATCCGCGAGGGGCTGTCGCACTATTTTGTGTTTATTCTGCCGCGCTCCTGGGTCGAGGTGGGGTGGCTGCCGTCCGTGAGGGAGCGGAGGAGTCTGCCCGTTCGCCAGGAGGCCGGAGCCTGCTGCCGTCCACCATGATTGGGGAGGAGCAGGGAACGGGGGAGGAGCTGCCGGTTGCCCTCAACAGGAGGAGTCATTGCCGTCCGCCAGGAGGTGGAGGAGCGATGGGCCGTCCACCAAAGATGTCTAGTAC